CAGAGCACGATAAGTGGTGTTGATGAATGACGTTCGGGTCTGCAGAGGTAGCGTGCGTAAACATAGAAGTCGCTATTGTGACAAGCCATCGCTTTGTGCTCAGCTCTAAACTAATGGTAGTAGGTAGCAGATGGCAAACCGTGTATCAACGCGAGTGGAGGATGATTCAGAGCTCAAAGCTTTCTCAGATTACTGGTTTAACAGCAAGCCCTAGCTTTTCGTTAGTGTAGGGAGTAAAGTAGTAAATGACTTTTTTTTACTTTTCAGGTTCATCATCTTCTGGTAGACAGTGTACGTTCTTCGAGCTTTCTAGTGTCTTTGCTCAGCTATCCTTTAAACGGCGGTGCAAGGTCTACGTAAGAACTCCGGCGGCGCAGTCCACAAACGCAGTCACTCGCTTCACCCTAGGAGCTCGGTAGTTTGGATAAACTTCATCTTGTTTCATTAGGTTGAGCGGTAGCAATATCATACCACCGGTTTTCTCGATAACACCGTACTCAAACGGGAACAAACGTATCACCAAGGGTTAAAAAAATGTACGTTAAATGGAGCAGATAAGCAGATGTACTCCCCACAGTGGCCAACAAAGTCGCCTCTTTCCCCTCTCACACAAACTTTACCAGGGAGAGGCAGAAATTCAGCTTTCGTCAAATTCGCGGAAGCGATCCACCCGAAGCCGAACAGGTCACGATTTCTGGCTCCCCAAATAGCTGGTACGCTCTCCAAGAAGACATACAATCGAAACATTCTGTACTGTTGACCCGAATTTCTCACTTACCACAAAAAATTGATACACAAACCAGCCTCACTAACGAACTCCTTTCGACAAAAATTGACATTAATTAGCCGGTAATTTAGCCTTGTGTATACATGATGCACCATCAATCTGAGCGTTTCACAAACGAAATATCGATGAGGCAATACAGCCGAAGAATAAGATAAAGTAATGCGCAAGTCAAAATCTTCCAAATTCCCAGTAATCCACGTTTACATCACTCATTTTAACAGTCGTCCTCCTGTCCTGGCACAATTATTCTGGTGAGCCCACACCAAAGGTGGAGAGCAGTGGACTCGAATTTCACTCTTATTAGAGCCAACAAGTAGTACACTTTCTTCGCCGTGTCGGAGTGTGAACTCCGGACATCTGACATGCGAGCGTGTTAACACTACTCCACTAGTTTAAAAGTTGGCGCATTCACTTCAGACTAATCAAAAAATTCCCCCCATCCTCATGTAAGCGATTGAGGAACACCAGAACACAAGCGAAATTTTACTGTGAATGCAGAAAGCAGATGATACATTTACTCTTAACCATTTCCCAACCAAAACAACAACCAAGTGAGGGGATTTTTTGCAACCTCCAGAGGTATTTCTTCAACAGGGGAATACTATATCGTAAGGACTTCTTAGACTCATTTTGTAAAAGGATGCCCCAACACCGAAACCCGTCTGATGCTTAAGACATACATTTGATTTATTAACTCGGACATAACTGATCATAATTATCAATAAACTCACTGACGTACACTGGTACCCATTCATCGTACATCGATGAGCGTCCAAGCACCAATTTAACTTGCTTTCGTTGTTTCGGTGTTTTAACCTTTATTCTATAGCCACACATGCAGAACCATTAGGAAATCGAACTGTGATGCTTTTGATTTAAAAAAGCTACGCGGTAATAATGGTTACGGTTTTACCCAAGTCCAAGAGGCCATAGATGAACTATTGTAGATCACCCTAAAAGTTTGAGCAACTTGTGATACTTGCTTCAGTGTTCATTTACGATGTCATAATCATTAAGCCGCTAGAACCAAGTAAGGCAAAGGTAAACGGATATAGCGATTAGTCACAATGATCCACCCATACCCTTCATTAATTAAGCAAAGCTGTCAATCGTGGGGAATGGAGTCCATCGTCAAACCCTTTGTAAGTAACTTGGTATCAAGGAGTTGGCAGAATATCTGCCTAAATAAAACCGTTGTGGACCAACATAAATGTAAAAACTCAAGGTGAATTCACCCTTGCTAAAAGGGGAGATGTAAACTATGTCACTGATTAGAGACGCTTCCATTTGGAAGCGTTGGGTCAAAATCATCGTCGATAGAATGACATCAGTGTCGAACACCGATACTTCGCTGCCGTACAACATTGATTTATTTGAGTCATGTTGTGAAGAAAAAATAAAGGTGGGTGGTGAAGGAACTTAGTGCTAGCTTACTACAATCGTTCCGAGGGGCTACACCTCCAGACGCTCATTCAATCTGGATAGAACGTAACTGACATCGATTAGCAGTCAACTTGTAGCACCTCCAACCAGGCACACTGGGGATGCGGTCCCCATCCTGGTAGGCGAGCAGCACCAACAGTACACAAACGTTTCGTAATCACTTTCATACCCTCTGCCATGTCATGGTTGGCCACCTCTCTGCTTCCGCCATTCTGAATTGGGCAGGGAAAACAGCACACTCTTCGGCAAACAATGGTTCGGCATGCGCAATACAAGGCCTAATCAACGCAGCTTCTGGTGCTGGACACATTCTTCAATACAAATGCCCGTTGCACAACCGAAAACTTTCTTTCTAATCGATTCGTTACGGATTCTCCGACACTAACCTACGCGATCTATGGACCTGTGAAAGCGATTGTCGAACACCTGAAGGCTCAAACAAGCCAAGTCTCACAGCGACGCAACACAATAGTCCGTAATCTAGCCTGATAGTCTCTCGAAACTCAGGGATATACCGCTTTGACGCCATAAGTGTCCCAAATTAGCAAACGGGACCCGGGCCTTGCATACTGGTGCAATGACCTCATCGGTCACACTACAGTCAAAACTAATGCAACTTCCAAGGTACATAGAACGTTCCACAACTTGGATTTTAAATGACGTTTTCAGTGACTGCATGTCTACGAGCATGACCTGAAACTTTGTGGATACAAGTTGCATACCAAGGGACGAGAGGACTTTATTCAGTTCACCCAAAAATACCCGCGTCCTCTCATCTTTGAAGACGAGAATGATGTCGACGGCGTATTCCAGAACGACAAGCTTCTCGTCACAGGCTATTTGAGCACCAAGGTTTTGGAAACCATCCCGCTTTCTTCACATTATCTCAGCTATCACGAAATTAGGTAGGAATGGCATCCTTGGCGAACACAACTTTTTGTACGGGAGCTTTTGAGGAGCTCGCCGAATACTCTCACATGTCCAAAAGTTTGAGAAAACGAACAATGTATCATGTTCACAAACTTCCCATTATCTCATCACGAAATTAGGTAGGAATGGCATCCTTGGCGAACACAACTTTTTGTACGGGAGCTTTTGAGGAGCTCGCCGAATACTCACTCTCGTCCAAAAGTTTGAGAAAACGAACAATGTATCATGTTCACAAACTTCCAAGACATTCCCTGGTGAGCAAAAGTGTCGAAAAGAACAGGCCGATCAACCGAGTCGAATGCACCTCGAAAATCCGGAAATACTAGAATTGTGGGTCGCATATACGTATGGGGTTGTCCTAGAACCTGACAGAATGTGAGGATTTGGTCAAGATAACGCCTACGAGGCCGGAATCCCGCTTGCTGCTCTCGAGTCAGTGTTTCACGAGCAACCGTAAGGCGACGAAGCACCATCATCATCATCAACGACAGCATGACATCAGTGCTCAACACCAATGCTTCACTGCCGTACAGCCATGACTTATTTGAAAGCCTTATTGTAAAGAAAAGAATAAAGGTGGATGGGGGATTTAAAAAAGCTACGCGGTAATAATGGTTACGGTTTTACCCAAGTCCAAGAGGCCATAGATGAACTATTGTAGATCACCCTAAAAGTTTGAGCAACTTGTGATACTTGCTTCAGTGTTCATTTACGATGTCATAATCATTAAGCCGCTAGAACCAAGTAAGGCAAAGGTAAACGGATATAGCGATTAGTCACAATGATCCACCCATACCCTTCATTAATTAAGCAAAGCTGTCAATCGTGGGGAATGGAGTCCATCGTCAAACCCTTTGTAAGTAACTTGGTATCAAGGAGTTGGCAGAATATCTGCCTAAATAAAACCGTTGTGGACCAACATAAATGTAAAAACTCAAGGTGAATTCACCCTTGCTAAAAGGGGAGATGTAAACTATGTCACTGATTAGAGACGCTTCCATTTGGAAGCGTTGGGTCAAAATCATCGTCGATAGAATGACATCAGTGTCGAACACCGATACTTCGCTGCCGTACAACATTGATTTATTTGAGTCATGTTGTGAAGAAAAAATAAAGGTGGGTGGTGAAGGAACTTAGTGCTAGCTTACTACAATCGTTCCGAGGGGCTACACCTCCAGACGCTCATTCAATCTGGATAGAACGTAACTGACATCGATTAGCAGTCAACTTGTAGCACCTCCAACCAGGCACACTGGGGATGCGGTCCCCATCCTGGTAGGCGAGCAGCACCAACAGTACACAAACGTTTCGTAATCACTTTCATACCCTCTGCCATGTCATGGTTGGCCACCTCTCTGCTTCCGCCATTCTGAATTGGGCAGGGAAAACAGCACACTCTTCGGCAAACAATGGTTCGGCATGCGCAATACAAGGCCTAATCAACGCAGCTTCTGGTGCTGGACACATTCTTCAATACAAATGCCCGTTGCACAACCGAAAACTTTCTTTCTAATCGATTCGTTACGGATTCTCCGACACTAACCTACGCGATCTATGGACCTGTGAAAGCGATTGTCGAACACCTGAAGGCTCAAACAAGCCAAGTCTCACAGCGACGCAACACAATAGTCCGTAATCTAGCCTGATAGTCTCTCGAAACTCAGGGATATACCGCTTTGACGCCATAAGTGTCCCAAATTAGCAAACGGGACCCGGGCCTTGCATACTGGTGCAATGACCTCATCGGTCACACTACAGTCAAAACTAATGCAACTTCCAAGGTACATAGAACGTTCCACAACTTGGATTTTAAATGACGTTTTCAGTGACTGCATGTCTACGAGCATGACCTGAAACTTTGTGGATACAAGTTGCATACCAAGGGACGAGAGGACTTTATTCAGTTCACCCAAAAATACCCGCGTCCTCTCATCTTTGAAGACGAGAATGATGTCGACGGCGTATTCCAGAACGACAAGCTTCTCGTCACAGGCTATTTGAGCACCAAGGTTTTGGAAACCATCCCGCTTTCTTCACATTATCTCAGCTATCACGAAATTAGGTAGGAATGGCATCCTTGGCGAACACAACTTTTTGTACGGGAGCTTTTGAGGAGCTCGCCGAATACTCTCACATGTCCAGAAGTTTGAGAAAACGAACAATGTATCATGTTCACAAACTTCCAAGACATTCCCTGGTGAGCAAAAGTGTCGAAAAGAACAGGCCGATCAACCGAGTCGAATGCACCTCGAAAATCCGGAAATACTAGAATTGTGGGTCGCATATACGTATGGGGTTGTCCTAGAACCTGACAGAATGTGAGGATTTGGTCAAGATAACGCCTACGAGGCCGGAATCCCGCTTGCTGCTCTCGAGTCAG